GGGACACTGTCCCTGTCACAGCCACTTCTAGCCCTTTAACCTGGAGATGTCCAAGCTGCTTTCTGCCTGATCCAGGTTTACCTGTTTGCTGCCCAGGGGCAGGTTGTCCCAGAGAGAGGCTGGCTGCCCCTGAGAGCCCCTCTGGTGGGAAGCTCTCGTCAGGGTGGCCTCTGCTGCCCCTCTGTGTGACCCCACGCACTGCCTGCCCCGCCCTGCTCTTGGCTGCCCCGAGCGGCCTGCAGCTGTGAGTGTCAGGTGGTGTTGAAGTCACGTCAGCAGTGCCTTAGCTGTGGCGTGGGTGGCAGCCCAGCTGGGCAGATATCTGGGGCCCTGGGCAGGCAGAAAGAATCTTGGAAAGATTCGCCTCCTGCCCCGCCGGGGTGCCCCGTGTCCTTGAGTGTGTTGGCACGTATGTGCCTACGACAGGCAGCTTGCTTACCGACATCTCCCACCACTTGCCCCGGCAGGCATCACTAATCAGTTGCGGGAATCTCCCCTTTGAGCCCCAGGTTCCCCCCAGTGATCCAGGCAGCTGCCACCATTCAAACAGGGCTGGCATGTGCTGCAAAACCTATTTGCCATTCCCTGTCTCATACCCAGTCTGAGTTCTCCTGTGGGCCCCTAAATCCGGAGCTCAGAATTTGCTGTCGGAAGCAATTGAGAGACTTCTGTAGCCGTGAACTCAGGTCTGTGTGCCAGCCACCACGTCCGAAACCCACCACCTCGGAGCTTGCCCAGTGCTCCTGCCTTGTGAGTGAGGGCTGGCACGTGCCCCTGGGATGGCAGCTTCCCTCTGATGCTGATTTGCTTCCTTTTCAGGTTCGTCTGCAGACCAGGTATGTCCTCCAAACCATTCCCCTCCCTCCATCCTGACCCCCACAGCCCTGGACGCCCAGAGCCAGAAAGACCCAATTGCAATCCCACCATTCCTGGGGCCATGCCTGCTTGGACATGCCGCTGTGGGTCACAGGGCCTTTTCTTTTCCTTGAGGACATTAGTAGAAGTGGGTCCCTGCACGGCCTCCTGGGAGTTGCTGTCCTGCCCCAGCTGCTCGAGGCTATGGGGTCAGCTCTGTGGCATGCCCCAGCCCGCTTGCCCCCAGGCCCCCAGTTTGGCTCAGAGCCTCTGTATAGCTGACGTGGGGACAAAGTCACCAAATTCACTTACAGGGCTGTCCTGCCCCAGCTGCTCGAGGCTATGGGGTCAGCTCTGTGGCATGCCCCAGCCCGCTTGTCCCCAGGCCCCCAGTTTGGCTCAGAGCCTCTGTATAGCTGACGTGGGGACAAAGTCACCAAATTCACTTACAGGATATGGATTTTGTGTCTCCCGGGAGCTGTAGAGTCAAGTCAGTTTAGCCAGCATTTAAGGGCACTTACCAGGCCCTGCGTGGGCTGTAGAGATGCCTCCGTGGAGGAGAGTGACACATATACAGTGCTTAGGCATACTCGGCAGGGTGTGTCCCGAGGCTCAGAGGGAGGCGGTCAAGGCAGGCTTCCCGGAGGAGGTGAGAGCTCATGGTAAGGGATGGGAGAGGGGAGGGCGCGGGTCTTCCCAGGTGGGGAAGTGCACAAAAGTGGAGGTGCACATAGGAATATTGGACGGAGGGGTGTCATGTAGGGAAACTGTCACAAAAGCCTGTGAGAGTCCAGGACGTGTTTGTCTCCTCCCCTGCTCCCTGTCTTGACCCTTCTATCTGGGAGTGTTGGGGGCAGGGAGGGTAGTGAGGGTCGATGTTTAGGCCACAGGCCAGGAGCAGCCTTTCCTCATCACTGTCGTCCTTGTCCTCGCAGGACGCCTCCGGAGCGGGACCGGGTGAGTCTGCTGGACTGGGGCCCTCTCTGCTACTGTCCACGTCAACGGTCACTCTGGGTGCCGAGCCTGGGCCTGGTGCAGTGGCTGCCAGCTCTGCCCAGCCGTCCTCTGCTCCAGGCTCCCAGAACGCGTGCTGCCCTGGACCCCCTCCCTCTGGCCTCTCCCACCTCCCCGGAGTCGTCTTAGTTCCCAATAAGGCTGCGCCGGGTGGTGGGGACAGAGCCCGGCCTGCAGAGGGACAAGAGCAGGCTGAGCTGCGGTCCTCGCTGTACCGGTTTCTCCATCCCCTTACCCACTGCTTTGGGTCGCTTCATGGGAACGTGGCTTCTAAACACCGAGGACTGAAGCATCGTGTTCTGTGAAAATTTCATTGCTGTCCGAGCAGGCCAAACACAGTCTAAACCTCAGGAAAAAACAACACTGTGGTGGCCGCTGGGTGCACGGGGTGGCCGGGGACACGTGGCTGCGGGGGCTGTTTGAGAGCCCTGGGCAGGGCTGGGCAGAACAGGCTCGGTCTCAGAGCGACCTTCAGCCAGGACCCCCATGCCAGCCCCAGAGCAGGAGCAGAGCAGAGCCTCTGGCCAGCAGCATGGCCTTTGGCAAGTCACTGGGCTTCCTGACCCCTGGCCGCCCCATCTCTACGTGAGGGATCCCCATCTCCTGCCCCTCGTGGCTGACTGGGTGCCACAAGTTTGAAAGGTGTTCAGAAGGAAACCCATAAGATGCCATCTGAAAATAAGTTGCTGTTCCTGTGATGGTACCTGAGTCTTCCTACTGCAAAGGGATTTACTTACGATATTCACCTAAGACACGGGAGCCTGTGGGAGGGGGATACAGGCTCGTGTGTCTGTGTGTGTGATGGGGGTTGGCTCTGCCCGAAGAGTTCCCCGAGACTGGAGAAGTCCGGGCGGGCCAAGGCCAGTGACGGGGTGGGCTGCCCACTGGTCAGGACGACGTCACCGAGCAAGCTGTCCCTCCTCCCTGTCCTCCACAGGTCCCAAGATGGTGGCTGTGCAGAACTACCATGGCAACCCGGCCCCTCCTGGGAAGCCTGTGCTGACCTTCCAGACGGGCGACGTGATCGAGCTGCTGAGGGGGGATCCTGAGTCTCAGTGGTGGGAGGTGGGTTGGGGCCCTGGGAGGGTCAGCGGGTCCCCAGCTCCTGTCACTGCTCCCCAGGTCAGAAGCACAGAGTCCCTCACCTTCCCAGGCAGAGGCAGGTTTGGGGGAGAGGCCGTCGTGGGGAGAGCACTGGGCTGGTGAGCAAGGCCTTTCCTGCCTCTGTGCCACACCGTGCCGTGGATTCTGGGGAGCCCAGCCTGGTCTTCCTGGGAGTGTTTACTCATACGCGACAGCAAGGGCAGTGTCCTTCACGGGAAAGGCCCTCCCGCGGGCGGCCAAGGCCCTTTCTCGTGTGCCTCTGTCCTTCCTGCCTCGATGGTCCCATAGGCCCTCCCCAAGGCTCTGCCCCGGCCGTGCCCACCTTCCTTCCCACCCAGCTGCAGTTCAGGCCAGCAACTCTTCACACTGTCGTGGGGCGACCAGGCTCTGGGGGGACACCATGATTCAGACCCACCTACCGCCTGCCCCAGGAGGCCCCACCCAGTGGAGGGGCTGACTGTGGCCATAGGTAACATCAATGGGATGTGGCTTACAGTTCTGAGCCAGGAATTTGCTGGTCCATTTACAAAAGTGGAGCCCCCTGCGGGTGTTCAGCCTGCACCTCAGCACCCACCACCCCCGGTCACCTCACCAAGCCCCAGTGCTCAGGGGAGCCCTGAGACCCTGGGGTCAGCACGGTGCTCAGGAGCTGGGGGACACTCAGCCCAGCTGGGGGCCAGCCAGGGCACCCTCCCGGGGAGCAGACGTCAGAGCCTAGTGTTCATTAATGTTCGTGTTACCGTTACTGGTGTCACTGTGTTAAGGTCATTGTCAGTACATAGCTCTGGATTTATTGTACCAGAGCGTCCACTCACCTAAGTGGAGATCCACAGGGTGCAGAAAGGTGTGTGTGCAGACGTCCCCTCCCCAGCTGTGACCAGGGCCGTTCTGGATTTATTGTACCAGAGCGTCCACTCACCTAAGTGGAGATCCACAGGGTGCAGAAAGGTATGTGTGCAGACGTCCCCTCCCCAGCTGTGACCAGGGCCGTTGGTTTCTTGGGTGACCTTGCAGAGACGCTGTGCTGATGTGCTGAGCCTACGTGTTCTCATCTGTGAAGTGGGGACGCACTTCCCTGCCCAGTGGTTTTGAGGCCATGGAGTTGATGGCAGGGAAGTGGTCTGTTGGCCAGAACATTCTTCGCAGGAGCAGGATCCGCACACATGCATCCCACATGCATCCCACATGCCCGTGCCCAGTCCCGCCTGCTTGTCCTCATTCTGTCCTCCTTCCAGGGTCGGCTGGTACAAACCAGGAAGTCGGGGTATTTTCCTAGCTCATCTGTGAAGCCCTGCCCTGTGGATGGAAGGGTGAGTCCTTCTGCACGGAAGCTTCTGGAGCACAGCGGCTGGGGTGCTGAGGGTTCTGTGAACTGTCTCCAACTTGGACATTCTTGCTGAGTGGCTGCTGTGAGCTGCCCCTGGAGCTGCAGCTCAGAGAGAAGTTGGGGGACCTGGGGGTGGGGGTGCTCTCCCCTACTTAAAGGGCTCAGCCATTAATTGGGTGTCGTGATTCATGGTGGTTTTTAAAACGCTAAAATACTCTCTGCAGCAGCTGTAATGGACTGAGGACCAGCTACCTTTCTGCAAATTTTAGGGGTCCTATAGATCTCCTCAGACTACTACACAGCCCTAGGGAGAAGCCTCCCCCAAACATAAGGACTCAAAGCTAGACTTCACGATATTTAGAAAACAAGGTGGCACAGTATTTCCTGCACCGGGGGCGGGGCTGCCACAAGTTCTCGGCTGTTGTAAAAGCACCAAGCAGTCAGCCTGCAATAAAGTGGATCCCCCCTGCCTCCCAAAAGACAGCTAAAGGTGGACGAGCGAGACTTCTCCCTGAAGATGCAGGGAGGCGGGTCCCCGACAGCACTGCAAGGACCCTGGCTCACCCACCGGGCCTGGCCTGACCCCCCCAACTGCTCTGCATGCTGCTTGTGTTGAAGGAGAAACTGTCAAGCACTTGGGGCTCTTTGGACAGATCAAGGGGACTAGACAGCGGGGAAGACAAGTGCCACTAAGTCACCGGTGGCCTAGGACAGGTCCCTTCCCCTCCCTGGGCCTCAGTTTCCCCATCTGCACAGTGAACGGGGTGGGGAGGGGATAGATAGTCTCTGATGTCCCACCCAGCCTGTGGCCCAGTGAGGCCAGGGTGGGGGCTCTGGCCAGGGAGGCAGCCGTGCAGGCTCGCGGGAGGGGTGGCACCTGCCCGAGTGTGGCCCAGTGCTGCAGCCGCCCTGCCCCGGGGCCTTGGGCCTCTGGAGCTGTGGATGCTCCTGTCCATGGCTGAGAGCTTCCCACAGCCTCCATCTGTCTCTTCCCAGGGTCAGTGCCCTGGTGGTGGGTGGTTACGCGCTCACTCCCTCAGTCAGTGACTCAGTCATTCCACTAAACACATTGAACATCTTCTCAGAGATGATGGGGGCCTGGCCGCTGCTGTGGGGACCTCACAGTCCAGGGGCACTGGGGCTGTCTGCAGATGGTCCTGGTCCAGTGCAGCTGGTGCCAGGCCTAGGGTCCCGGTCACTGAGAACAAGCCCCTTGTGGCTCCCACAATATGCACAGTCCTGGGGGGTCACTAACACACGTGTGCTCTGCCGCCAGCCTCCCATCAGCAGGCCTCCATCCCGGGAGATCGACTACACCGCCTACCCCTGGTGAGTGGCCCCCGGATCACAGGCGGGGCCATTTGGGGGCCCCACAAGCCTGTGAGCAGACCCAAGGCGGGGTGGGGGGTCCCAGGGTTTCTGAGCCCAGCCCCTCCTTCCTCCGAGCCTCCGTCCGTGAGCCTGGCAGTCGTTCCTTTTCTATAGGCAGCTGTTTCCTCGTCTCTAAAACAGATTGACAGTTCGAATATTTGGGGGACCGAAACCCTGTTTTCTATGCAGCTGTAATTGAGCTTCATTATATAAAATATATAGAAGTGGTGTATTTAGTTAAAGTCAAATCTGTAATCATTTACAGTCATGTGTCACATAGCGACAGGGATACATTCTGAGAAATGCATCATTAGTGACTTTGTTGTTGTGTGAACTTTGTAGAGCTACTTACACAGACCTAGATGTCATAGCCTGCTGCACACCCAGGCTGCGTGATGTAGCCATTGTAACCTTAAGGGACCACTGGCATTGACCAAAGATCGCTGGGGGACACGTGACTAAATCTGCTTACCCAGCTGCTCTATGAGAACAGCGAGGCTGTGTGGATTAATGAGCATGAACGTGGACATTCTAGGTACAAGTCACGGATGCGTCCCACCATCACCCCGCTTTTCATTCGCTCTGTCCCTGTGGTGTCTGGCACCGAGAGGAGTGACTGGCCCCATAGATTTGTAGCTGTGAATGCTGCACGTCCCGCAGCGGCCTCGCGAATGACAGGCGACTCCGTGCACTGCAGCCCCTGCCTGGGAGCGTCTGCCTCATGATTTTGGTTTGGGCTTCAACCCTGAAGCTGCCCTAGGATTCCCTGTGTCTGCACACCGTGGTGTCCCAGGCCTCTCCTGGCTCTGTGGCTGTGCCTGGCCCATCCACCTGGATGCCCACAGTCCTGCTAGCTATGTCGTCCACTCTGCACTGTACCGTGGGGCAACCGATCGATCCTGGGCTTCTCCCTGGATGGAGGGACAGACGTTGAATTGCCTAGTGTAGATTGCCCCTGGCGGCACCGTTTTACAAAAGCCGAGTGCACGCCAACAGGTACATGCACGGTCGCAGGTTTTGATTTGGGCGAGCTGGGCTTGCAGTCCGGGCTCTGCTTCGTTTCGAGAGGGATGGCAGGGAGAGCTTCGCTTCGCTCTGTTCGGAACTGAGTTAACGCAGATGTCCGCGGTCTCCAGTGTGTTACCCAAAGTCCCCACATAAGCAGTGATGTCATTACTACTTTTTAAGTAGTGGAAAGTATTTTTTAGAAAAGAAGTTTGATCTAATGCCTGCTGTGTTAGGCTGACACCTCTGGCGGGCCCTGGGGGTCTGCAGAGCAGAGGCAGCGCAGTCCCTGGTGACACCTATGGCCCCTTCCTTCACCCGGGCCATCTTTATCGAGCCCCACCATGTGCTGGGCCGCCCGTGTTGCTGCCCGTCGTGGGGACCCAGTGCTCCTGCTGCTAGGCTTGCGCGGCTCGGAGCTCAGAGCGGGCAACCCCCCGTGCCACCGTCACTCTGGCTCTCTTTCCTCCCACCCGCTCCAGGTTTGCAGGCAACCTGGAGCGGCAGCAGACAGACAACCTGCTCAAGTCCCACGCCAGCGGGACCTACCTCATCAGGGAGCGGCCCGCCGAGGCCGAGCGCTTCGCCATAAGCATCAAGTGAGTGGTGGCCTGGGGGTGAAGGAGACCGTGGGGCCTGCCGTCCCCTCCGTGTCCTGGGCTTGTTGAATTGGGGCCAGGACACTCATGAAGTGGGAAGGGTGCTGAGGATCAGCGCCGGGCATCCTAGGTCTCCAAAGTGCACTGGATGTTTTCAGGTCACAGGGAGCAGATAAATTCAGGGACAGGTGGGTGGGAAGCCGAGTGGTCAGGGACATCCCAGCAGCCCCACAGGGGGTCTCAGAGAGAACAGACTGTCACGCTGCTTTGTAGCAGCTGGATATCTCTGCCTGTGGCTGCTGCTGCCTTGTGGCTTCAGCTGACAGTCTTCGGTCTGGGCGTCCTCCTGCCAGTGCCCTTCTCCCCAGCACTGCTCCTTGTGGGGCTGCAGCCACACTCTTCAAGGGACAGACTCTGACTGGTAGTTCGTCACTATGGCACAGGATGCCCATGGACAAGAGTCTCAGGCTGGCCACTGACGGGCTACAGGCAGCGAGTGGGGGTCTGGTCTGGGGTGATCTTGGTGGGCTGAGAACCCAAGCAGGGTGGTCTGTGTCCAGGGAAGGGCTTCCCCAAGTCTGCTGGGTGGGTCAGGGCCTGTCACTGGGCCGTGTGGTGTCTGCACCAGATCAGCCTGGGGCTCTGGTTGCAAGTACCAGAAGCCAGCACAAGTGAGCAGACGAGGGGTTGTCTGTGGGAGGCAAGAGCCCCCACAGCCCTGAGGACGGGCACGGGTTCAGCAGGGCTGCCCCGGGCTCTGATGCATGCCTGCCCCCCACTGTCTCGGCTTTCTCTGCCCTCTCTCTGGCCCCTGCTTGCTCTACGTCTGCTCCTGGTGGGGTTCGAATGCATGGGTAGGGATGGTGAAGGCAGAGATCTGGGGAACTAGCAGGATCCAGGGCTGAGGATAAGGCCCCCCGACATCTCCCCCACCCCCAGCAGGGCAGACACCGCCAGGACCCATCAACTTTCTGAGAGGCCCCACAAATGTCTGGGGAATGAACAAATGCCCTGGCTATAAAATACAGAGGACAGTGGTCACATTGAAAGTGACAGATGTCCACTGGGAGGTTACCTGGTATGACCAGTGGCCTAGTACACAGGATCTGCTCCCTGCAGAGGTCGCCGTACCTGCCTCAAGCAGCGGAACCACCTGGGGGTGTGTGGCACAGTGTGGGGGTGGACCCCCCCTCAGTGAAGGCCTGGGTCGTGCCCTGGGAGAGACTGGAGGGGGCTTGGTGGCAGGTCTGTGGCCCCAGGCTGCAGCTGGCACCAAGCAATGAAATGGCAGGGACATTGCCCATTTTATAGAAATTCCCAGAGCATCTTCTCTGTGCCTGCCTGCAGGGTGCCCAAGCCGGGGTCAGATGGGGCTTCCCCCTGGGGAGTTTGTAGGTGGGGGTGCACGGGCTCACGGCAGACATTAAATCTAGGAAGAAACAGAGCGAATGCTCACACAGGGGAGTGAATGCTCACAGGGGAGGAGGGTGGCCCTCCGGGCAGTCGTATTTGACAAATGCTTATCACGTTAGCCGGTTTCTGGATGTTAAACCAACCTTGACTTACTGCAAGATGCAGTCCTTAATCATGGTGTGAAATCCTTTTTATGGGTTATACATGTCTGTGTGGGGAGAGAGAGAGAGAGAGAGAGAGAGTGATTTGGTTTGCCAATAGCTTATTAAGGATTTCTGCATCTAGTTATAAGAGATGTTGGTNAGCAGGATCCAGGGCTGAGGATAAGGCCCCCCGACATCTCCCCCACCCCCAGCAGGGCAGACACCGCCAGGACCCATCAACTTTCTGAGAGGCCCCACAAATGTCTGGGGAATGAACAAATGCCCTGGCTATAAAATACAGAGGACAGTGGTCACATTGAAAGTGACAGATGTCCACTGGGAGGTTACCTGGTATGACCAGTGGCCTAGTACACAGGATCTGCTCCCTGCAGAGGTCGCCGTACCTGCCTCAAGCAGCGGAACCACCTGGGGGTGTGTGGCACAGTGTGGGGGTGGACCCCCCCTCAGTGAAGGCCTGGGTCGTGCCCTGGGAGAGACTGGAGGGGGCTTGGTGGCAGGTCTGTGGCCCCAGGCTGCAGCTGGCACCAAGCAATGAAATGGCAGGGACATTGCCCATTTTATAGAAATTCCCAGAGCATCTTCTCTGTGCCTGCCTGCAGGGTGCCCAAGCCGGGGTCAGATGGGGCTTCCCCCTGGGGAGTTTGTAGGTGGGGGTGCACAGGCTCACGGCAGACATTAAATCTAGGAAGAAACAGAGCGAATGCTCACACAGGGGAGTGAATGCTCACAGGGGAGGAGGGTGGCCCTCCGGGCAGTCGTATTTGACAAATGCTTATCACGTTAGCCGGTTTCTGGATGTTAAACCAACCTTGACTTACTGCAAGATGCAGTCCTTAATCATGGTGTGAAATCCTTTTTATGGGTTATACATGTCTGTGTGGGGAGAGAGAGAGAGAGAGTGATTTGGTTTGCCAACAGCTTATTAAGGATTTCTGCATCTAGTTATAAGAGATGTTGGTCTGTAGTCATGGTGTGAAATCCTTTTTATGGGTTATACATGTCTGTGTGGGGAGAGAGAGAGAGAGAGAGAGAGAGTGATTTGGTTTGCCAATAGCTTATTAAGGATTTCTGCATCTAGTTATAAGAGATGTTGGTTTGTAGTTTTCTTTTCTTGTGACATCTTTGCTTTGGTGTCAGCTGGCAAGAAGGTGGTGTGGTCTTGCGGGGAGGGGTAGAGGGAGGCTCCCCTATAGGGCACATTTGAATTGAGACCTGAGGAGGAAGGGGTCGTGGAGATGGCAGGAGGACGAACATTCCAGGCAGAGGTTCTGCCTGGGCAGGGGAGGATACTCGGAGGTGATGTCAGGGCTGGGCCTGGATGCGCCCCTGGAGGAGGACGTGCCCAGTGCAGAGAAGCAAATGACTGAAAGCCCAAGACAGGACGTCAGCAGGGTTGGAGCTGAGGGCAGCCAGGGAGTGGGGGGGGCGCTTGGCCGGGGCTGGGGGCTGCGTGGCCCTCACATGGTGATGGCCGGAGCCCCTGCATTTGCCCAGGTTCAACGACGAGGTGAAACACATCAAGGTGGTGGAGAAAGACAACTGGATCCACATCACGGAAGCAAAGAAGTTCGAGAGCCTCTTGGTATGTGGCTCTGTGGTCCCACAGCTGCTCTCCCCAGCCATGGAGGACAGTGGCTGCCTCCACTGCTCCCTGCTGGGCCGTCCCTCACCCATCCCTGAGCGGGTGGCCACTTTTCCTTAGGAGGATCTTCCCAGTGTGGGAGAGATCCAGGGAAATTGGCTTGTAAGTCACCTGGGGACAGTTGGGCCACATCACCGCCTCCTGAGTTGGGATGTGTGACCCCTAGTCTGTGCCAGGTGGGTTGACCCTGGTGGATAGTGCAGGGGAGCAGCCCTGGCCACCAGTATTATCAAGGACTCACACTGATCTTCCTGCAAGAGCTAGAAACCCAGGCCCAGGGGACCCTGTCAGCAGGTCACAGTCACATGGCTTCAAACAGCCCCTTCCTTACTCACCCCTACCCTCTGCACTGTCCCCCGAGCCAGAGTGCAGTTAAAGGCATGGTCCTTCTTTAAATGATTTAAAAATTACAGCTGTTATCTTTTAATCTTAATTATAAAAGTTGTGTGTACTGAGAACATCGGACTAGAATGTCTGAGTCTTAGCTTCCTACTATGGCCACAGAAAAGCACAAAGCCAAACAGAAAGTATCCAAAAAACCCACAAAAACCAGTGTGCACATTTCGACTGAGTCCTTATAATTCCCTCTCGAAGCATAGCTTAGGTGTGGTTTATATAGACCTTTTAAAAATGAAACGTTTGGCCATGATGTACCTAATTATTAGCTGACTTTCCAAGATAAAACATTCGCCCCGGGTGAATCTTCTTTTCCCTGGCTGGTAGCTGCGTGGCATTTTGTCTTTTCTAGAAGTTCGCTCCTGGTGTTGGACACACGGTGTTCCCAGCTCCATTATAAAGGACACTGCGGTCAGCACCGGTGGCTGTCGATCGTAGTGTTCTTCGAAGATTATTTCCTTTAGAGATATTTGGGAGGGTAGTTACTGGGCCAAAGGTCTTCTAGATACTAACCACCCCCTGTGGATAGGGCACAGAGGGCAGAGCAGGAGGGCAGAGTTATGGGGGCTCAAGGAGAAAGGGTCTCCCACATGAACCTGAGGGGGTGGGAGGACTGCCTGGAGGCGGTGGCAGCGGCAATACGTGCATGCCCCTGCAGGAGCTGGTGGAGTACTACCAGTGCCACTCGCTCAAGGAGAGCTTCAAGCAGCTGGACACCACGCTCAAGCACCCCTACAAGTCTCGGGAGCGTTCTGCCTGCAGGGCCTCCAGCCGATCACCAGGTAACATCGTGCCCGACAAGCACACCAGTGCTCCCCTAGAGGTGTTGGCTCAGTCCAGCTTCCCAGGGCTTGGGTCCTCGCCACCCACCTGCCTTCATGGTCCTAGGCTAGGAGCCCCCCCTCAGGAGCATGGCCCAGCCCCCCCCCCCATCACAGGTGCTGTCCCATGTACCCTCCCATGCCATGTGGCAGATGGTGGCTCCCTGGCACCTGCTTGGATTGCTGCTCTGTCGTGGCTCCCTTGCCCAGACAGCAGGGAGGTCTGGGCAGAGACCCTGCGCTTGGAGTTGCCACTGGTGGGGAGGAGAGCGCAAGCCCCCCCGTCTGTAGCTCCCTCCCTGTGCCCTAGCCCCCCGGGCCTCCGCTGTGAGAGGCAGCCTACTGGCAGATGGGATTCCAAGGCCCAGACAGGGAAGTGACTCTCAAGGCCACCTAGAATTAGGGGCAGGGTCAGATCAAGAGCATTTGGCCTCCAGCACAGGACTTTGTCCAATAAGCCACCCCAATGTTTCCCAGCCTGCAGGGACCTGCAGGGCCATGGGTCCCACCTGGGCAGAGCAGGACAGGAGAGAAATGACTGGCCTTTAGTGAGCACTGACTGTGTGCGTGATGGGAGGAGGTGGTCTCGATTTACTCTTGAGGACACGGGTGTGGAGAGGTGGCTGGAGGCAGCTCAGAGTGGCTGAGCCGTGTCTGCCCGGGTGGGCCCTGGAGCCCCCTTCCCTCTTTCCCCCAAGGCAGACCCTGGCTCCTCTGTGTCCTGGCTCTCGCCATGTGTGCCTGTGACTGCGCGTGACGCCCTGCTGCCCCGTCTCATGTTCTCTCTCGCCTCTTTGCAGCTTCCTGTGCTTCCTACAACTTTTCTTTTCTCAGTCCTCAGGGCCTCGGCTTTGCTGCTCAGGGCCCCTCCGCTCCCTTCTGGTCAGGTACCGCTGCTGCCAGGGCGTGGGGGGACCCAGCTGTGGCCAGCTGCCTGGGGAGGCCTGGCACAGAGCCACCCGCTGGCCCCACGGCCCTGCCTGGTGTGCCCACAGCCGCCTGCAGCCTGGCATGGGGTGGGGGAGGAAGGGGCTGGAGGCCGGGCCAGGCTGCAGCTGGCACCTGAGGATGCGTCCGGCTGGGCCGGCCCCCACCCCGACCGCCACCTCCCAGCCCCCTCAGCTGTGTTCCTCAGCGCCCAGCGAGGGCTTTGCCTCTGGCAGCGGGAAGCAGCTGGGAGGCCCCATGGCATTCAGGTGGGGCAGGCCCAGTGTGCCACTTGGTGGCCATAGGAGGAGCGGCTGTGGGGCCTGGGGCGGGGAGGATGGGGTCTCGGTCGTCCCTGACCGCAGGGCCTCCCACTGCCAGAGTCAAAGCCCCTCCCCAGCAGCGGTGTGTGTCTCCCCTCAGTCATGGGCATCGTCACCTGTCCATCAGGACTCCTGGGTTCCGGGCTGAGCTGGTTCAGCTGGGTTTCCAGTTTGGTTTGGGAATCTGGAATTGGGGAGCCATAGGCACTGTTGTGGTCAAAGCACGGACACCTGCTCTTGTCCCCAAGAGCATGCTCATTGCCTGTGATGGTGCCCAGTGCAGGTGGTGACTGCTCCAATGGTCTTGAAGTTCGGGGACTCAGATATGCTGTGTCCACACCCACAGGGGAGTGAGGGGCCCTGGGGTGGGAGGCCAGTGTGTCCTTCCAGAGCCTTTCTGCTTGATGTCCTTCCTCTCTGGGCACAGGCCAGGCACCAGGCACCGGGGAAGAGACCCAGCTCAGCCCGAGGGCCTCCCCAAGCACTGGCCGGGCCCCTCCTGCAGCTGTGTGACACCACCCGTCTCCTCCAACAGTATTCACACCCCGGGTCATCGGCACAGCTGTGGCCAGGTACAACTTTGCCGCCCGGGACATGCGGGAGCTCTCGCTGCGGGAAGGCGACGTGGTGAGGATCTACAGTCGCATCGGCGGGGACCAGGGCTGGTGGAAGGGCGAGACAAACGGACGGGTGAGCAGCCACCCCTGACCCGCAGGTCCCCACATGGAGACTGCGGGGCCTGGCCTTACTGCTGCTCTGACCTGGTCAGGCTTGGGCAGACTGGCACCACAGCCATGACCGTGCCCCAGGCCCTGTTCCAGGCACCCACTCATCCTCACAGCAAGTCAGAAAGCTGGTGTTCACAGTGGGAAACCGAGGCTCTGGACGTTTACCATGAGCCCAAGGTCATGCAGCTGGGAATGGGCTCCATGGGTCACATCTGGATCCAGGCCCCTCAAACCCTGTACCTGTGCTCAATCCTATTCTGGGCCTCATTCATGGCAGCTGCAGGGAGTCAGGTTTTACATACTTTCTTGAAATCACTTGCAAGTACCCAAACTCTGTTTGTAGGAAGGGAAGCCACAGGGCTGAGAGTAGGGCCTGGGTGTCATTGTTGGGTACTTCCTGCTGTTTTCTAAGGCTAGTAAGATGAGAAGGGACACATCATGTCCCTGCCCACCCCCATCCCTTTACTTTTCCCAAGTGCCAGTGGGCCCCATGAGTCCTCTTCCTGTCCACCCTAAGATTTTGCAAAACTCCACGGTCTCTTTATCCCAATACCCCATTTGGACTCCTGGCTTTGACCCAGGGCTCTCAGCACCCACCTGAGAGGGCACCAGAGCTTCACGTGCTACTGATTAGAAAATGCCCAACTTCCCTTGGGGGCTGCAGAGGGTCAATCAGCCCTGGTTCCCACTGCTGACCATTCCATTGCCACGTGGCAGGAACCAATCTGCCTCCATCTAGCATGTAGTCGGCCCCTTAGAGGCCCTCAGATCTAATCCATTTTCCACCCAACTGCCCTTCAGAATTTTGAAGGCTACTGAGTCCTAGGCAGCCAACCTAGAGGGCTGGGACCACTGGCTTTCAAATTGGTCCTTGTGTCGCCAGCATTGGAAGCACTTGGGGCTGTGATTTAATAAACACAGGCCTGGCCCCTCACCCAGATCCAGGTGATTTCTATACAAAGTGAAATTTTAGAACCACTGGTTTGAGTATTACTGGAAACTTCCTGTTGATTCAACCCCTGTTATCATTATGAAATGTCTCTTTTTAATCTCTGGCAATTCTTGCTGTAAAGTCTACTTTATCTGCTATTAGAGCAACACTAGCTTTCTTTAGATTAGTGTTTTGCATGGCATACTTTTTTCTCTCTTGTACTACTTTTAACTTTTCTGTTTCCTTATATTTAAGATGGTTCTTTTATAAACAGTGGGATTTTTTTTTTTTTTTTTTTTTTTTTTTTTTTTTCCGTTTCCG